GGCCGTCCCCGAGCTGGCGCCGCCCGCCCGGCCGCCTCCGGGGCCGGGGCTCCCACGCTCGGCCCGCGCGGACCCCGCGCTCCCCCGGGAGGCATCGCCGGTCGCGAGACGCCGCAGCCCGAGCGACAGGTCGCGCTCCGGCCGCCCAGCTCGCTGCTCCCCGAGGCGCGGCCGCCGCTCCGCTCGCCCTGGCTGCAGACCCCCGCCTGCTCCGAGAGGGGGCGGCTCCGGGACCCTCTCCCGCCACTCCGCGCGCGTCTTCGCCGTCCTGACGGACGACGCTGCGCCCGGGTCCGTCCGGGCTTTGCCGGGGACGGCCTGCCGTAGGGCCCCTTGGTCGTCCACACTGAACCCGCTCCCGGGTCTCAGTTCTGAGACTCCTTCCTTGTGCCGCCCGTCCAATAAAGATTCAGAGAACCTGTTGTTGGCGTGCACTGCCCCGTCCAGCAAGCCTCCCCGAGCGCCGCTGCGCGCCAGGCTGTGCTGGAGCCGCGCTCCGCCTTCGTGCAGCGGGCCGTCCGCACGCGGACAGCACGCTCACGGCGCTCGCCTTGCGCCAGGCGCGGGCTTCACGGAATCCGCCGGTCGGTCCTCGCACACTCCCGGCAGCCCTCCCGGAATCACTCCCGCTGAGTGGCGGCGGAGGCCCAGCGGGGCCCAGCGCTGCCCTCTTCGCCAGCACCAGGAGAGCAAGTAAGGGCCGCACCCCGGGCAGGCGGCGCCAGCGGGAGCGACTACAAGGGAACACGGTTTCCTGTGGTGCTGCGGGAGGGAGGCCAGACCTCCTGCAGGAACCGAGGGGCCCTGCAGCGCACCTGCCGGCTGCGCGGCGGTGCAGACACTGCGGGGTGAGGCCAGGCAGTGGGCGCCAGTGCGGAGGCCCTGGTCTGGACGGTGGCTGTGAAGACCAAGGCGCGGGCTCTGCCTTCTGCTGCAAGTGCGATGGGAAGTCTAGAGCAGTGGCCCCCAACCTTTTTGGCACCAAGGACAGGTTTCAAGGAAGGCAATTTTTCCGTGGACCGGGGATGGGGAGGTGGAGGGGATGGGGGAGAGGCAGAGCTCAGGCGGTGATGCGAGCGATGGGAGCAGCAGTAAATACAGGTGACAGCTTCGCACCCTCCCCTCTGCTCACCTCCTGCTGTGCAGCCTGATTCCTGACAGGCCACAGCAGGGGCTGGGGACTGCAGGTCCAGAGAATTCTGAGAAGACCCATGTGGTCATCTGACTCACATTCTAAAGGATCCCTCTGGCTGCTGTGTGGAGCACAGACCACAGGAGGCCAGGTGTGTATCATTTAGGGTGCATTCAGAGGCAAGCAACCCAATTCCTAGCTAGCAGCAGCTTATGTTGAATACAATTTTAACCCCAGTAAAGAGTCGTAAAGTATGCAGTTTCAGGAGCACACAGTCCTTCCATCTCTCCTCCCTCCCATAATTGCCACATTCTCTTTTTGTCCTTGTACTTATTGCGTCATGGCCCAATGTGGCTGCCATAGCACAAGGCATCACATCTTTATACCACTATCTCAAACAGGAAGGAAGCAGCACGCAGAAAAAGGATATCTACATTTAAAAAATCAATTTATGATATGCTTTTATAACAAAGAAAAGGTTTCTCAGAAACTCCACAGCAAACTTCTCTTTAAACACCCTTAGGCAGACACAGGGCCACGTGGCCACCCCTGGCTTTATAAGGGTGGGAAAGTGAACATATGGCAAAGCAGACCAGGACTGCCTTCCTCCGCCGACATGGACGCAGAGTTGCCCCAAACGAAATCAGGGTTCACTTAGCTTAGAAGGAGGGGGAAGGCTGCAGAGGAGGCTGCCAACTGGCCTACTGCAGAGAGAAGTGGGGGCCCAGGTAGGGGTTTTGACAGCAGCCCAGGAGAGAAGTGATGTGGTTTGAGTAAGGTGGTCAGGAACAGTGACTCACTTCTAGAGCCAACCGAACTGCTGGCACGTTGGACGTGACCTGTGAAAGAAAGAGAGAAACCAGCCGGGCGCGGTGGCTCACACCTGTGACCCAGCACTCTGGGAGGTCACGGCGGGAGGATCACTTGAGCTCCGGAGTTTGAGACCAGCCTGAGCAAGAGCAAGACCCCATCTCTACTAAAAATAGAAAAATAGTCGGGCACGGTGGTGGCGCCTGTGGTCCCAGCTACTCGGGAGGCTGAGGCAGGAGTCCGAGGCCTGAGCCCAGGAGTTGGAGGCTGTGGTGAGCTGCGATGGCGCCACTGCTCTCCAGCCTGGGTGACAGAGTGAGACTCTCTCCAAAACGTAAAAAAGAATTAAAAATTTAAAAAACAGAAAGATAGAGGCAGATTCTTAGCTTTTGGGCTGAACAGCTGTGTGGATGGGGGTGCCCTCTACTGAGATGAGGAAGGCGAGGGCAGGAGCTTGTCAGTCACAGGCTGGAAATCAGGGATCGCTTATTTAGCACAGACGTGGGGGTGTGGTGTAGGCGGCTGGACCCTCCAGGGGGTGCCAGACGACAAGCCCCAGCGGGAGCCTCCATCTGGAGGCTGCTCTGGCCTTCCCCACCCCTGCCGCTCCGCCCTGCGCCACCGGGGCTGGCCGTGTAGACCACACCAGCGCGCTCCCCTGGCCTCTGGTTCCTGGTTGTGCATGCCCATGGGCGCACCGAGAGGCTCCCTCCTGCTGGGTCACCAAGCCTCACTCAGGCCCCAGCCCCAGCCGGGCACCCGCCATTCTCCTCTCTCCCACCAGGCCCTGCTCTGCTCCTGCTCCCTGTCCTCGCTCCTGCTGGCCTGGGGTGGCACCGGGCAGGCGCGAGGAGCACTTTCCCTGGAGGCCTCCCTGCACCCTGGCCAACCACGGCAGAGGCCCTGCAAGCGTCACACGGCCCGACACAGAGCGCATCGCCACCGAGGGAGCGGTGCAGACAGGGTCCAGGGCGTGACCAAGAATCCGGCTGTGCAAAGGAGCAGCCGGGGCAGCGGAGGGTTGGAGAGGCCGGTGTCTGGGAGCCGAGGGAGGGGCGCGTGTGGGGAGGTCTGGGACGTGGGGGCCCACGTGCAAGTCGGGAGGAGGGAGGCGTCTCCCCAGGGGCGTGGGAACGGCCGCGTGGAGCGAGTAAGAGAGAGCGAGCCGCGAGGCAGCGCTTGCAGCAGGTGTGGACGGTTGTCCAGTGAGCTTTTCTGCAAAGGGAGCAGAGACGCCGAACGCCAGCTAAGGAGAGATGGGGCACTAAGAGAGCTTTGTGTTTCTACAGACAGGGAAATTACTGGGCTTTGCACGCTGATGGCAATGACTCAACAGAAAGAAAACTGCTGATGCAAGAAAAAGAACGTATTGCCTGGTCTGGGCGAGAGGGCACAGGACGCGGGGCAGCTCGTGTGCTGAGCAGGAAGGAAAACAGATCCCGCGATTGCAGCTGGGGGCGGGGGGCGTCGATGCATTTGGGGAGCCTGAGGACTTTTTTAAATTGCTCTGTTTCTTCCGGGAAGCATGAAACCAGACAGTCAATGCGAGCGAGAGGGGGCACTGCGGGTTGGCCGGAGAAGAGGGTTTGAAGCGCTCACCCCGGCCGTGGGGAAGGGCGGCGGCGCTGAGGCTGCGCTCTGGGCAGCGCGTCCAGCCCCAGGGGCTGCGTGTGGG